TGCAGAAGATGACGCTTTATATTGACGTTAAGCTGCTTTCATCACAAGATCTTCTGCCTCTGTTGGGCACTGTGGGTTAGTTATGCGACGTTAATTAAAAACCCAAAAATCTGGATTTCCATGGAGATTATGGGCGGTATTCATGTTTTGTACATACTTGGGTCAGTATAAATACACCGAGTATTGGAACAAACTGCATTGAACTTAAAACCCGGGTAGTGTAGAAAACCAGCCAAGAATGCAATATACCTTAATACAGTAACTTATTTATCATCCATGGAAACATTTCTATTGATGGAGAAAGTGTTCTTTGATATCTGTTCTAAACATCGATTATTGCATTCTGTACAGAGATATAATCGTTCTGTTTATTGCACACTCAGGACAAGTTGCATGCAGGCATGGAGTTCTTACAAGTAAATACGTTTGGGGTGCAAAAGTCATTTAATGAAATTTGAAACAATGGCAACGATGTTATCAATCGCTTTTGGAAGTGTTTTGATTTATAATTAGACAGGAGAAAACGCCTTACGATCCATCAACAAAAGTGAGTGTGGATCTTTCAGAAACTGAGCTTATAACTGGAAGAATGGTTCATTACTATTACGTAATAATTGGCTTTTGATCATTTCAGACTATTTGAACGTTAATTAAGACAAAATGTACGGCTTTGAAGTAATACGATGTCGAGTAGGTAAAAACAACAATACGCGACTAACAAATGCACTGACATGAAAAAACATAACTCTCGGACGAAGAAAAATTTCTTGCCTAACCCCATTGTGTTATCACTATTGAGATTAAAAGAACAAGGACCCGCTTTTTCCACGAAATAATCATTGTGAAAGCAATTTACTTTTAGTTCAGCATTTACAATTACCGTCTTTTAATTAAAACTAAATTTTAAAACTAAACGTCCGGCATAATTTGAAAGAGGCCCTGTGACCATAGTACAAAAAGATTGGCCTTTTCCTAAGGAACGAAGAATGAAAACTTCAGTCCTACTGCAGCACGTGGACAGAGTGCGTGCATGGACACATGAATTGGTAGGTTTGGATTGATCAACTTATTACTTTTCAATACTGATTTTGCTTTGGACCAAAGAAAATAACACACCAAGTGAGATTTCCATTGCCTGGCAACCGTATTTTATGCATGTGAATTCAATAGCTTGCGTCTTTCCAGTTTTAGCCAATTGCAATAACATTCACAGAACCTGTAACTAACACTCCTTTTGAAATAAGAGAAGTCAATAAGTCTTTCATATTAACTCGTGCACCGTGCAGGTAAGACTCCATTGAGTTGAACATTGTGATCTTTCCATCGCGACAACATGGGGACTGCCATTTCGACTGCAATAAAGGAGCAACAAGAAAAAAATGATCAAGAAGTAACGGCAACTATGCAGATGATGCACAAGATGCTGGTGAACAAAATTGCAGCCGCATCGTCCAAGATGGAGAACGATGC